TTCCTGCGTGCATCCCGCATCTGGTCTTATTCTTCCAGGTGGACTGCAAATTCTTCAAGGGCAGCAACTATGTGTTAAAACTTTAGGAATCCTATTGATACTCATATAGTAAATTATACAAGGTACATGCTTCAGAGTTATGAAATTCATAACAGGGGCAGGAAAAAATAGCACCAAAAATGTAATTAAAATACTTTACTTATATAGTGCTTTTGTAATATAAAATATTAGAGTCTCTTCCCAAGTCAGGGTCCCTCTTGATCTGAGAATTGCTCCCTAAAGCCCAGAGATGGACCCTCAGCAGCTATGTTTATACCATGTGACCTCCACCCCGGGGGCTGTTGCTGACAGGATCAGGACTGGATACCTGATTCAAGATGTGCCAGGGATGTTCCCCCCTTGCCAATTTGGAATGGAGACCCAGAGTCACCAGTCACTCTATCAAGGTAAGGACTAAAGGTGAAGCAAGAAGGCATCTAGGTAGCAAAATTTACTTGCATGACCAAGTCCCTGAAGTCCTGAATTTTGCACTCTAGGTGCCCTCTTGCCTCAGCCTAGTCTTAGCCTTGGACTCTTTTTACGTGGCTGTATTCATAAAATTCAGAAGCTGTAACCAGATAATCACAGAAAGACAGTCTTGCAGTAGAGTATGGGAGTTTGAGGAAAGAGAGAAAGATACAGGGACAAAGAGAAATTAGATTGCTCCTATCCTGAGAAACCCCTGAAGAAAGAAAGGGTAGGTCATTTAGAAGGTCTGGGGTTATGTAAATAAGTGTCAGAGAAAAGAGAGATGGAAGAAGATAGGTTTCAGAAGACTTCAGTCTTTGAAAGGAATCTATCTTAGAGCTAGAATTTTATTTTGGGGTCTCTGCACTTAGCTGACTATGCTTACTGTTTTGTCTCCTAATTTTTCTGGAGCTCCTGTTAAATGTGTTAAGTTATTGATTCTGACTTCTCAGAAATTCCCCATAATGGTCATTAGTATTCTATGTCTAGATTTTTGCCATTTGCACCAAGGTATATGCAAGGGGTTAGATTATAATGAAACTTCCTATAAGAAGCAGGCGTTCTTCCAAGAGCACGTGAAACAAAGAGAGAAAGAGAGAGAGAGGTCACTTGATGAGTCAACAGTGTGTGCTTGTGACTGGTGTGTCAGGTTACCTGACCAAAGACTAGGAAGCAGCCACATGATCAGCAATCCCACAGTCACTGCCTTTGGAACATGGGCTAAACAAAGTCACTTTTCACAGGCTGACAAGATAGGGTGTGCCCTCATGAGGATTTGGTAGGGATCCAAGGCACAGTTTGACAGATTACCTCTTCAGAAGCCAGTTGTAAGTCTATCAGACCTCAGACTTATTCAAGTCTTGTGCCATCTGTTCTTTATATAACACCCCCTTATATACTCAAGAAACAAGAAAAATCCAGGATTTAAATACATACACATGGGGACTTCCCTGATGGTCCAGTGGTAAAGAATCCGCCTTCCAATGCAGGGGACACGGGTTCAATCCCTGGTTGGGTAACTAAGATCCCACATGCCACGGGGCAACTAAGCCCACATGCTACAACTTCTGAGCCCGGAAGCCTCAACTAGAGAGCCCGCGTGCTGCAAACTACAGAGCCTATACACCACAGCTAGAGAAGAGAAAAACCCGCATACCACAACTAGAGAGAAGCCTGAGCACTGCAACAAAAGATCCCACCTGCTGCAACTAAGATCCAATGCAGCCCAAAATAAATAAATAAATAATACATACATACACTTGTAAACACACACACACACACACACACACACACACACACACACACACACACATGAAAGATTTGATACCTATACACCAGGGATTCTCAACTGGGTTTCTGAAGGACTCTGAGGCTCTGCAAAATGTCACTAGGGTTTCCACAAGACCTCTTAATTGGAAAAAAGAGAAACAGTTTTTGAACTTCAAGTGTGATGTGATGCTAGTGCATGCAATGATGGAGGGAGACAGTGACTGAGCTGTTCCTTTACATGTTGTTCAGCCCCATAGGGTGGTGTGTGAAAGGACCACGTACAATTGGCTGAGACCATTCTCAGTTTGGGATGCAAGATTAAGGGAGGCTGTTGGTGGCTAGTGGCGAGCTCGATGTGGAGAAGAGCATGGTGGGCTGATGTGTGCCTCTCCTTCCTGAATTCCCTCCTCCAAACTCCCCTATGCTCCGTGGACTGAGTTAAAGGAGTGAACAAACTCTATTGGTGTAATATGGAAGGAAAGTTGCATTCCGAAAAATGAATTTTTACACACTGCAGTCAACTGCACCCTGACACTTTGTTATTATTTGTAAACATTGTGAAGTGTGGATAGTGTAAGAAGAGAATTTTCATACGGAATTTTTTTTAGGGAATTTTTCTCATTTTGTTACTTATTATGAAACTCTTTTATATTTCAGTAAGCATTACAAATATGTCTGATGGTCCAATGGAGTGATAAATTTGAGGGTAAATTTAAAATGGGCAGAAGGGAATTGAAGGACTAGGGACAAGACTCAGAAGATTAGTGATGGAGAACTGCCATTTTCGGAGTCATTTGACAAGAGGCCACACACTGAAAAAGTCTGTCTTCACAGTGAAGCTGCTTATCAGTGGAATTTACATCAGCTGGTAATACAAGTTGTCCTGTTCCATTGGGCATGGTCTTAAACAACTAAAAAATGCAGCAATGGCTCCAGGAAAATGGAAAAGACAAATAAAATATCACAATTATTTGACAAGTAAAGGGGCTGGTAATTTTAAGTGGCCTTTGGAATTCAGCTCTCCCCTCATTTCCCTTTTTTCTGTAACAGCAAACAACTATTGAGCACTTACTAATGGCTAGTCACTGGGTAATATGAATCCACATAGTAAAGCCTTTTCACTTTTCAGTACCCTTTTATGACCATTATTTCTCTTGACCCTTGCAAAAAACCTGTGGGAATAAAATATTATTATTATCCTTACATTGTAAATTAGGAAATTGAGCTCAGCTAGTTAAATGACTTACCCAAGCTTGCCTATGTTGTTAATGATGAAGCAAGAATTTTAACCAGTACCGTCTGACCCTACATATAAACCTTACTTATCTTCCCCAAATGAGGGTAGACATATGAGAGCTCATTCTTTTCCTAGCCTCCCCCTCTTGTTTTTCTTTCCTACTTCTTTTTTGACCTTAACTTCATCATTCCCTAACTCTGAAGCTTTTAGTTAAATATATACCCTGGTGTACAGGGTGGCAGGACTAGTAATGGATAGTAGGAGTAAACTTTAGTCCACAAACCCACATGTGTATGAAATGTAATTTTTTTCTATTTTTCTAGATTCAGAGTAATTTCTATTTTGAGTCCTTGTTCCTCCAGATGGCAGAGATATAATCACAGAATTCAGAGCATCTTGCTTTTCCTGGGAGCTCAAGGAAGTTCCCTGTGACTGTGGCGGTGCTCAAAGACTTGGGGTTGGGAGACCCTGTTCATATGTTACTATGCATTCTTCTAAACCTGTTTTATGATGGATACCAGTGGTTCCAAATTCGGATACCTATAGGGGCCAGGCAGGTAACATAAATTTGTAGATAAAGGACAGAGATGAACAAAATGTAAGACTGCAGTGAACCTAAGACTACCTGCCCATCTAAGGCATTCAAATGTATTCTATTAAAAAAATGCACACACACATAACTACCTAACAACAACAACCAACCAACCAAAGGAAAAAACAACCCAAGGCGTGGACCAAACAAAATACACCAAATGAGATACACCCATTTTTGACTTCTGAAATTCACATCATCTATTAGGCTTTTTGCAACATAAAGGCTAGGAAAAGATTTTTGTTTTTCTCTTTCCTGAAGCAATAAGTATCAACTGATCTCCCTCAGGAGGAAGAAGGAAAACAAGGTAAAATAAAAATACAAGAATGTGGGGATGGGAAGTGGGAGTGAGGACTCAGCCATTAATATTTCTAGTGGTATATGGCAAGTTAACCCTGCCCTCAAACCTCCTTGTCACCTCTCACCATGCTGAATCTTTACGATTTTTTCCTGCTTTCCCTGTATTCCATTTCTATTGTCTTATTCTAATTGGATCCCAACTAATCCACATACTGCTATAGGGATTAATATCTTTGTTAGTTGTTAAGGCTTATTGCCTGCCAGGGCCCGTCCCTCACAGATTTTCAAAATAAGTTGTAAGAGGACTTAAAACTTATCCTGTTCAACACTCAATTGTCATCATCATCAATGAAGCACCTACACTGTGCGGGGACACCCAGATGAAGAGGGCTGTCCCTCCTCTGGGCTCTCCCTCTACCATGTCACCCAGAGCACTTAATTCTTGAACTTAACATTAATGAGTAATGTATGCTGTGTGTACGCTCTCCTGTTACTCTGTAAATTTCTTGAAGGCAGGATCCTGTCTGATGTGTCTTTGTCACTTTCACTGCACATGAGCCCTTCACATCCCATGTATTCATTAAATGATTGTGGATTTTCCTCTCCATTCCCATAAACTCTCATCCTTTTACCCAATTATTTTTCTCTCTTTACAGTTGCTTTTGCTCCCCAGTCTAATCTCGACAATGTTGTCGGACAGATCTTTATAAAACTCAAAAATAATCAATTTTCTCATCTGCTTTAAACTTCCAGTGGCAGCCAGATTCATTTGAGGATAAAGTCTAAATCTTTTGTCCTAGCACTTAAGACTCTTTGCAGGGGAATGGCTCTACCATAGCACCCTGGAGACCTTCCATGTTTCCACAGGAACAGCTTGAACCACCATATGACCTAAATCTGGGTGGAATGCCTTGTGATCCTCCCAGGAGCATGGCATGAGAAGCAGTCTTTACAAGAGGCTTCACAAGACAGTTTTCCCATCTGTCTCTCCCTATCTTGTGGGAGGCTGCCATGAGGCAGCTTTCCCATCCACCTCCCTGGTTCCAGAGAGGCATGGGACTCTCCATCTCATACTTACACCCCTTTAGGGCAGAGATGCAGGCTCTAGGACCACTGAGCTGCAGTCTAGGATCAGCTCCTCAGCCACTGAATATCTCACAACTCTGTTGAAGACGTCTGGTTCCTTTTGCTTCAGTTCCATCCTTTTGGTGGGTGAGATAAGGACCCAGAGAGCTGCACCCTTGGCACCTCTTGCTTTCACTGCCTATATAAGTAATAAACTGTCTGAATCTAAAAGGGGCTCCTTATTTCTTTTCCAGCTGAACCTGTCAGTCTTGGACTTGGACTTCCCTTTGTGTTTGACACCCTTTATCATCTAATTCAATCAAAGCCTTTCACCACCACTCCCCAATCTATTTACTAGTCTAAGCAACCATCTCATTAGAAACCTAACATAGGATATTGTCAAAATCTGCTTCTTCATCTATCTCTCCCTTTTCTGCTCTATCCAATATAGTACCCACTAGCCATGTACAGCTACTTAAATTTCAATTCACTTAAAAATGCATGAAATTGACATTTAAAATTTAGCTTCTCATTCATGCTAACCACATTTTAATTGCTCAGTAGCCACATGTTACTAGTGGCTACTGTATTGGACCATGTAGCTATAGAATATTCCCATCACCACAGAATATCCTACTGGACAGCACTACTCTGGATTGTAAAGTATTCCTCACGGGCAAGAATTATACCTTGTTCAACACTCTACTCAGTTCCTAGAATAGTGCCAGCACATAGTGATCGCTCAGTAAATGTTTGAGGAATTAAGTGAAAGAATAAATGATAGATAAAAAAGCAAAACAAAAAAAGTTGAGTGACATATCTCAGAGAGAGTGTGAAGATAGAACAGAAGCCCAGTTGAATATTTATAGGCTACTTCTGAAGATGGAAAATTCCTCAAAGTCCAATGGGATACAATTTCCAGGGTTCCTCACTTCTTTGCAGCAGGAGGCAGGACTGTCAATGAAACAGTTAATGTACACTGCAGACTGTCAATGAAACCAAAGATAGAAAGCAGCCAGAGGGCAAGAAACAAGAACTCAGCTGCCTCTCACAGGCATAGCCTCCTGGTGGTTGGAGAGGGAGCCCTCAGCAAAATGGAAGCAACCTGATAGGGTCTGAAAGCTGATAGCCACATTGCTGAGCACTCAGACCCCCCCAGAGTCCCAGGGGGAAGGACGGGGATTACGCCTGCACCACTGGGAGACCTTGACCTGTTAGAGGAAGGGCAGTCAAGAACTGGCGGGACATCGACACATCAGAAGGCAGGAGACAAAGAATAAAACAGAGCGAAAGGTCCCATGGACGTTAAAATTACCATATTACCAATCAAGAAACAAAAATTCCATTTCCTTTAGGATCCTGTTGCTTTTCTTCCTTCATCACAGCACTTCCTCTTCCCAATAAATCCCAGAGAAAAATTCTTCGAGTCAAGAAACATCTCTCCAGGGACTTCCCTGGTGGTGCAGTGGTTAAGAATCCGCCTGCCAGTGCAGGGGACATGGGTTCAAGCCCTGGTCCAGGAAGATCCCACATGCCACGGAGCAACTAAGCCCATGCACCACAACTACTGAGCCTGCGCTCTAGAGCCCGTAAGCCACTACTGAGCCCACGCACCTAGAGCCCGTGCTCCGCAGCAAGAGAAGCCACTGCAATGAGAAGCCCGTGCACCGCAACGAAGAGCAGCCCCCGCTCACCACAACTAGAGAAAGCCCGCGCGCAGCAATGAATACCCAACGCAGCCAAAAATAAATAAATTAATTAATTAATTAAATGTATATAAAAAATATCTCTCCATTAGTCACATTAGGCTGGACCCTGACTTTTGCAGCCAAGTGTGCATTTCACCTCCAAAATAGTCTCTAAACAGTCTTCTGGTTAGGTTTATGCATCTGACATAAATCAGTGTTTGAACAATAAACTACCTGGGATAGTAATTTCTGGTTCTTCAGAGAACTGAGTTACCCACTGAGGTGAGCGAAACACACACAGAAAGACAAAGCAGCCTTCCCCCGTTCCCTGCTGCTGAAATCAGAAAGCAGACCTTTTCTACTTGGCCACGACAGCCCTAACTCACCCCCGAATTCAGCTGCAGGAAGCAGTCTGGAGCGGGATGGCTTACTGAGCCGGCTAGAAGCACTGGACACTTGCCTATTGCTTGCTAATTTAGATCGTTCAAAATACCCCAGCCTACTGTTCAAAGTTGAAATTGTCTCCATAGAAACCATCAGCTGCTCCTTTTTCTTTTTCTTTTTTTTTTTTTTTAAAGTTCCCAGGGACAGGGCTACGAGCATGTGCTGCCACAGGGTCTGGGCAGAGGCTCAGTTTAGCTGGTGTGCCTTTCAATCCAGGTGTTTCATAAAGGAATCTTTTATTTCATCACATAGGTCTGGTTTCTACACCTCTTCCCTGGACTCCTCCTCTCAACTCCTGGCTCTCTCCTTCTTTGCTTCAATTCCTTCTCTATCTCCTCCTCTAAGTCAGTGGTCTCTTAGGCAGCTGCCTTTTTAGTAGTTTCTAAGATGAGTCCCAAATATCCATCTTCAGAGTGGTGTGGGTTTCAGACTCATCTGACAAGTCTGTTAAATAAAGATTCCCAGGCCCCTCAGCTGGAGATTCTGACTTGATAGGTTTGGGGTAAGTTTCTGGGATCTGTACTTTTAACAGCAGATTCTAAAGTATAGCGCAGTTTGCAAACCACTCTTCGAAGGGACAGCAAAAGCCCCCCCCCCCATGCAAAAATGCCTCCTCAGGACCAGAACCCCTGAAATCTGTCCTATTGTTAATCCCATCAGCTAATGTCCATTGTCAAAATATACAAGTGATCCAAGCTACAAATTGCAGACTGTGCGTCCAGGTTGTGAACTCCTTGAGGGAAGGTACCATGTCTTTTAATTTTTGCATCTCTTGCAGTCTGTGAGGTGTAGCTGGCCTCTGGAATCAGAAAGACTTAGATTGGAACCCTGATTCCTTTACATCTGTCATTGTGACTGACCTCAGGCAAATTACTTACCTTTACTTGGGCTTCAGCTTTCTAAATTGTGAAATGGGAATGGTACAATAAAATGTATTAAAAGTGAAGTATAAGTCTTGAGGAGAAGGGGCCAACACTGGAAGTCATGGGCAGACTGGAATGTCTGGGAGAAGAGGAAGCTGTTTTAGCACATAGCTCTTACACAGGATGAGAGGCACCTTGGCAGGCTAGCAAGGCTCCCAGCCTAGTGACTAATTCCCAGGACTTGATCCAAGGATGGGAGGCGGGCTGGGGAGGAACGCAGCAGAAATAGTGTTGTTTTTACTAAGACTCTAAGAGAAGCACAGGAAAGGGTGCCCCAGCATCCAGGTAATAAAGTGAGATGCATATGCTAAGCTGGCACAGAGTCAGACCTTCTTCACTCTGCTGCCTAGAGCAGAAGACACCAGGGGCCTGGCACTCCATGGACCCTCAAAGGATGTAGCAAATTAAGAGTGGGGACATTGGTGGGAGCACTGGGCAGTAAGGTGCTAACCAGGTACAAGGGAGGCATTAGCAGTTGTCAGTAGCAGGTGTGAAGCATGCAGAAAAGACTGAAGGCCTCTGAGGAAGAAGGAATCTACCTCCAGCCTGCCTTCAGACCCAAGACTGTAACATCAACTCTTCCCTGGGTCTCCAGCTTGCTGGCCCACCCTGCAGATTTCCAGTCCCCACAATCGCATGAGTCAAATCCTTAAAATATCTGTCCCTCTGTCTCTGTCTCTCTTTCTCTCTCTCTCCCTCTCTGTCTCTGTCTCTACGATTATATCAATATATAATTTTAGGGTAGAATTTAACTGACATAAGGCAGATTAACAGGAGAAAAGCATACACATTTATTTAGTGTAAGTTTTATGTGACACAGGAGCCCTCACAAGGAATGAAGACCCAAAGCAATGGTGAAACCTACCTGTTTTATATTAGATTGAACAAAGAGAGGCAATTGTGGAAAAGTAATTATACTATGTGGGGAGCCTAAAGGAAGATAAGAATTTTTTTTAACAAGGTCTATTTGTATAGAATTATCTCAGTCTCAATTTCTTGTCCTTGATGATAAGAATGTTTCTTTCCTTCTGGTGTAGGGAGGACACCTTCCATCTGGGAGTTTTATCTCCTGCTTTCAGGAGGAAAAGGGGGAGGGTCAGAGGGGCTCTCTTGCAGCTGCTGTTTTTCTAAAGTGCTAGTATTTTTATGGCAAAGAGGCCTATTTGGGGATGATATATTCTGGTTTCCTTAGAAGGAGAGGAAAGAAAAGCAGCAAAAGTAAGTGATTATGGAATGAAGACTATTCTGGTGGGTGAAAGTCACCAGGTGTACTTAAGGGATTTCACTGAGCTTCCAGAGCTGCAGCACAATCAGTGGAAAACTGTGACTCCCTTTTGGTGACAGACCTAACAACATTTCTAATCATCATTAGAGCCTAAAAAAATGTACTCCCTAAATAGGAGTAAATATAGAAATGGAAGTGTTTCTAGCTCTCCAGAGACAAAAACAGTGCTTGTGAATACAGCAAAACATATTTCAAATTTGCTTACAATTTAACAGCCTATGGGAAAAAAATCTCAACATAGTGTAACAGAGAAAATTTAGGGCTACATCCCCAGGTTCTGATCCCAGCACTGCTCTTAATTCATTGTAAAAATTTCTCCAAGACTCTATTACTTAGCTGTAACATGAGAAGGCTAACATAGATCAGTATTCCAAAATATTTCAGTCATTAAGTAGCATCTGCATAAGTTTAGCCGTATCTGTGTACACCCTGACTTATTACTAACAAGGAAAAATCTTTATTAATACCTCCCAATGTGTTTATATTCTCAGTAATTGTTTTGTTCTTCCTCTGAAGCTTTATTACATTAAGGCTAGACCCTGGACCAGTTGTGCTAGGGGAGAAGGCATCCCTGCCTAGAAAAAAGGTCTAGGCCTTGACCAAAAGTGGGAATGAATTACAAGAAACTGCAAACCCCAGAAGAAGATTTTGTCCTGCTTCCTGTTTGGAGTTCTGGAAAGTAGAGTAAAACAGGATATTGTGTGTTTAAGCAGAGAGAGATGCAAAGACAGCACACATAAGTTTCTCTTTGCACTCCTGTTGTGTGAAAGCATTCAGGAAGTCCCCATATTCTCACAATGATGGGCATGGAAAGCAGCTAAGAGTTGAAGGCCAGCAAACCTCCCTGGGGACCATTATGACAATGTGTGAGGTGACTCTTTAGCACAGGGTATGGGGTATGTAGCTCTACCAGGGATCTATAAAGGACACAGCTGACACTCAGGGAATTTTGAAGGACAATGAAGGGCAAGTGGCGCAAGCCCAGAGGATTTGAGTGGTTTCACCACCTGACCCAGAGGGTGATGGTGAGTTTGCCACCTGGCCTTGACCACTCTGAGAGAACAACCATGAGTTATGAATGCATACACACTAAAGGTCAATGCCTGGAGACCAGATGAGTTACACTTCCACCAGGTTAGAGAAGCTGGCCAAGAACAGTTATTTGACCTAGTGTTCCTGCCACACACCCTTGCCCTGAAATTATACAAGCCCTCCTGCACCCAGATTTGGAAAAGAGGGTAGAGGGTATCTTTGAAGGAAATAGAAACATTTCTGCTAATATCTGAACTTCAAATTAATTATTTACCTGAACATGGGCTGTATGAAACAAGAAAAGATTAAGATACTTTTAATGAGCTGGTTTATGTTTTCTTTCCCTTCCATCATCATTGGAAACAGGTGTTTGAAAGGAAGCCTGATTCTATTACAGAAAATTAAAGAGAAGGCAGGATCAGTGGTGGCATAGGAAAACCCTAGCTCACCTACAAAACTACAACTACATGTAGAAAAACTATCTCCAAAAATGGCCTGAAGACTAGTAGAGTAAAGACAACAACCACACTGAGACTGGTAGGAGAAGAGAAGCAATCTACTCAGGACCCATACCACCAGTGGGCAACTCAGAAGAGGAGGGGGAAACCACAAACTTGGGAATCCTCCCTAAGGAGCAAGGGGTTCAAGCCCCACACTGGGGTCTAGCACTGAGACAGCAATCCTCCTTCTCTGGTTTTGAAAACCAGTGAGGCTTTTTGAAGGGCTGTAGGAAACCAAGACTGCTTTTAAAGGGCATGTACACAGACTTGCTTGCTCCCAATCCCAGCACAGAAGCAGCAGATTGAAAAGTGCCTGGTGCTCTGGCTGGCCTGCCAAGACAGCCCCAGCACACACCCCAGCCCACACCAGTCTCCAGCTCCAGCCCCTCCAATTCCTGTCCTGCCCCCTGTCGAGGTGATGGCCACCAGCACACCCCAGGAGATGCTGCAGCTTGCACTGGGCTCTAGCTCTAG